CTTCCTACCTGTCCACCTGCCATCTCCTACTCCCAACTGCAGTCTCTTCCTTCCACCACCAGAAATCCCACACTGGCCCGGCCAGTGTGGCTCAGTGGTTGAGCGTCAACCCATACTCCAAGAGGTCGTTGATTTGATTCCTGAGATTCCTGGTCAGGGCACATGCCTGCGTTGTGGGCACGGTCCCCAGTTGGGGGCAGGAGTGCAGGAGGCAGCCTATCGATGTTACTCTCACATCGATGTTTCTGTCCCTCCCTTCTTCCTCTCCCTTCCTCTCTAAAAAGCAATAGAAACATATTTTTTTAAGAAAGGAAATCCCACAGTGTATTTTCCATAAAGCCTTTAATTTTTATCTAAGGGACTGGGATCCTCAGTCCAGGCTTGGGTCAAGCGCCTCTCAGGCTGGCTGCCAGTGGTTCCTGTCTCGGGGGGGCTCTGAGAAGAGTGCTCCATTCTCTCCCCTATTGGTCGTTGGCTCCTTAAAGACAAAGACAGAGGCCACTAGACCCTGTAGCCCCCCAATCCTACACCCGAGGCCACCTTGGGCTGTAGGAAGGGAAAGGCCATTGTCACTGATGATACGGGTTCAAATCTGGCTCCTATGCTGTGTGACCCTGAGGAAGGATTTCCTTTGAGCCTCCTCTCCCTTCTGTGAACTAGGTCTGTAAGCCCTGCTCTGCTCAGGTCGCGCTAAGCCAGCGGTTCTCAACCTGTGGGTCGCGACCCCTTTGGCGGTCGAACGACCCTTTCACAGGGGTCGCCTAAGACCATCCTGCACATCAGATATTTACATGACGATTCATAACAGTAGCAACATCACAGTTATGAAGTAGCAACGAGAATAATTTTATGGTTGGGTCACAACATGAGGAACTGTAATTAAAGGGCCAGAAGGTTGGGAACCACTGCGCTAAGGGGTAAGGGACTCCACGTGGGAAGCCTGGCCGGGCACCAGCCCACAATGGAGGCCTGGCGTGTGCCTTCAGGTGGGCGCAGATTCCAGAGGGCTCTGCTGCTTATTCACTCCTGTGTCCCTGGGGGGAGACCTGCCCTCAGGCTTTAGTTTCCTCGTTGAGAAGTGGGAGGATAACCCTGGCCTCACCTTCCTGGGGGACATGGGGGACCGAGCCTGGAAGTACCTGCTGGGGTCCCAGGCCATGGAGGCGGGCAGGGCAGGACTGAAGCTTAGATTCAGGGCGGGTCAATGTGGCTGCCCACAGAGCTCCCACAACCTTTCCCAGACCCCCAGCACAAGGTGAAGGGGGCTGAGGAGACCCTGCGGGGCCCAGTGTGCTGGTCATGCACCCATCCTCACATCTGGGCAGGGCCAGTTTCGTGGCCAGCTAGATGGCCTCACCTGGGTTTCCGGGAAGTGCCCTTGGCATCCCCCTTCCTAGCCTCAGCCAGCAGCTGTTCCTCATCCAGCCCCAGTGCTGACAGCACCTGGGAGAAGCGCCGGGTCACCGTGAGCCGGGCATTGGTCTGCGGAGAGAGAGGGAGTCCCACTGTGCACCAGGGCCCCAGAACAAGTGGGGCTCTGATTACTGAGGGGTCCCAGGGCTTCCAGATGGGCAGCAGCCTGGGGTGCCATCTAAGGGGCCCAGCCCCAACTCGCCTCCCTACCCACTCGGCCGGTGGAAAGGCGTGTTCTCGGGGAGGCCGCCTGCTGGCCTGGGCGCTAGCTCTCACCTGCATGGCCTGCTGGAACAGGAAGGGCCGGGCCTGCACCCTGTGCTGGATGCCCTGCAGCTCGGCCTGGTACTCGGCAAAGCGCTGCCGCTCCTGGCGCCTGTGGGGAGACGGGCCTGTGGGCAGCTAACCATGGACACAGCCCATCCCCACTGGTGAGCTGCTCGTCTTCACTAAGGACTGTATGCCCTTCCCTTTACAGAGCCATTCCATGCCCCTCCTGCCCTGGCTTCCTCCTGAGCTCAGTGGGTGGGAATTAGTATTTGTCCCATTTTACCCAGGACGCCCCTGAGGCTCAGGAGGGCTGAGGGACTTGTCCAAGGCTGCACAGCTGGGACATGAGGCAGTGTCTCCAGGCTGTGCAGCCGGGACTCGCTTGTCCTCCCAGTTACTCCCAAGGGAGAGGGGCCAGTGGTGGCTTCTGAGCAACTGGGTGGCTGCTCGCACAGCCTGTCCCCTCCGAGTCCACAGCCTGCACTTCCCACACCGCCCCGTGAGGAGGAAGCTGTGGCTGTGGGCATGGCTCTGGGCTCTTCTCTGCTATAGCAGCGGTGGGACCAGCTTGCCAGTATCTGCTGTGGTTCTTACAAGCAGACAGCTTAGAAAACGGGACAGAGTAACTAACAACGATGTTGCAAATAAAACACATTCCAGAAAAGTCAAGGTTCCACGGGAGAAGCACAAATCGGGTACAAAGCCCAGTTCGTGGCCTCGTCAGAAATTGTCTGCTCAACCAGCCAGCCTCTGGCAGCAGGAGGGTCCTCTGGCCGCCGTGCACACAGGTCCCGGCATCCTTCTGTGAGGCACCGAGAGGCAGGGGATGTGGGGCAGCACCCAGACAGTAGGGAGGAAGAAGACTCCAGCCCATGCCGGGCCCTCCGGCACGTCTGCTGGGCCTGGACCCTTGTCTGGGAGCCAGGGAGGGAATCTTCCATCCAAGGAAAAGAGATGGACTTGGAAACCCATGGCAGGGACAGAAGTTACTGCAAAAAGGAGTCGTCGCCATTCAAGGGGGATTCACAGCCATTGCAAGGGGCTGGGGGGAGGGACAGGCGCTGGCCTTCAGTCTCTTGCCCGCGATGCCATGTACATTTTCCTGCTTGGTTCTCTAAGCTATTTCTGTTCGAATGGAGAGAAGGCACAGGTCTGTGAGCCCCCCCACCCCTCACCCCCATCCGAGTGAAAAGGAAGCACGTCAGTGGATGTCAGCTGTGTCCATCATCGCTGGATGCAAGGAAGGCACATCACCTCCCCACAGGGCAACCGTTTGTGCCCGCCTCCTGAGCAGGGCAGTCTCCCGTGCAGCTCAGAGGAAAGTTCAGAGGCTGTGAGCTGAGAGACCCCGTGGGAAACACTCCTCCCAAGTAGGAAATGAAGGCTGCGTGTTTGAAATACTCCTCTCACTGACATCTGCCCCTTGGGGTTTGAAAACTTACACTTTCTCCCGTGGTAAAAACAACAATGAACTTAAGGTCTGGCAAGAAGACATCTCCCAGGATGAAAGGAGAGGAGGCATGGAAAGGGCTGCCCTGGGCCAGCTGCACCCAGCAGGCATGCAATGGCATCTGTGAGTGTCACCAGGTTAGGCTGGGGGAAGATGCTGGGTAGTGAGCCTCCCAGGCAGTGTAGCAGGGTGGCGAACCGGCTGCCTGGATTGGAATCCCACCTTCGCAGCTCATGTGGGAAAATGATTTGAGCTCTCTGACCTTAAGCTTCCTCATATGTAAAATCATGGGAATGGTGACAATACCTACCTCATGGGCCTATTATGAGTCTAACAGTGATTTTCCTTTAAGTATGCATTTGTGGGTTGGTTTTTCTTATTATTAGATTTTTATTGATTTCAGAGAGGAAGGGAGAGGGAGAGAGAGATAGAAACATCAATGATGAGAGAAAATCATTGACTGACTGCCTCCTGCATGCCCCCTCCTGGGAATGGATCCCAAAACCCAGGCATGTGCCCTGACCAGGAATCAAACCATGACCTCCTGGTTCATAGGTTGATGCTTAACCACTGAGCCATGCTAGCCAGGCTGTGGATTGGTTTTTTAAATGGTCAGAATATAGGAAGAGAATCAACCCATTGGCCCATGAGCAATGTCTGTGTCCGGGAGTCGGGGGGTGGGAGGGGGACATAAGTGCTGCTCACATTCTACATCAGCTATTTTGGTAACATCTGAATTTTACAGTAAGCATGCCTGGCTTGTGAAATCAGAAAAACAAGATTTGAAGGTGTGATGAACACGAGGAATATTTAACCTGAGCATTTGACAGCTTCAGAGACTGTTATTTATTGGGTGACCTTGGCCCAGCCCCTCCTCCTGAGCCTCATGGTCTTTTCCTATATGACACACAAAGTGGCCGGCCGGCCGGTCTGCCGGCTGGAGGATGGCAGTGCAGGCTCAGCCCGGAGGAAGGCGAGGGCTGGGTCTGCTGGGTCCTCCTGGCTGACCCAGCACTGCCTCTGCCCTGTCCCCACCAGGCCCTCCACAGCCCAGCTTCCTACCTCAGCTCCTCCAGCTTGCGTTGGGCAGCCCCCAGCCCTTGACTCCTGGGTGCATAGGTTGCCAGGCAGCGGGCCACCTGCTGCTGTACCTGCTGCTCCCGGGCCTTCCGCTGCTCAGCCTGCTGCTGCTCCTCCTGCTGCCGCCGCTCCCAGCCCTGCAGCATGCTTCTTGGTGGGGGAGAGGGGAGAAGAGGATGGGAGGAGTCTGTGGGGAACAGGAGGCTCACAGAGGGTCAGGGGCCAGGAAGGGGGAGATAGGGTTAAGTGAATGCATTTTGACTTGAAGGACAGACAGGTGGATGAATGGAAAGAAAAAAGAAACAAAATGGTGAAGTGATAATGGATATATGGAGGGATAGATGAATGGTGTGGGTGGCTGAATAGTCAGCACCTAGATCGACCTGGGACATTCTTCCCCCAGGTCTCACGGCCATCTCATCAGTCAGGTCTTTGCTCAGATATCAGGGAAAAAAGACTCCTTGACCACCTCACCTACCTCTCAGATATTTTCCAGTTCTAGCTATACACCTTGTTTTCTTATTTTTTAAAGATTTTAAAAATTGATTTTGAGAGAGCGGGGGGAGAGAGAAACATGAACGGGAGAGCAACATCAACCAGCTGCCTCCTGCATGCCCCCTACCGGGATTCGAGCCTGCAACCTGGGCATGTGCCCTGACAGGCAACCTTTCAGTGCATAGGACGATGCCCAACCAACCGAGCCACACTGGTCAGGGCCACCTTGTTCATTTCTTTATTAATTATCCTCTTCCCAAGTAGAATGTAAGCCTCATGAGTGCAGTTTCTTGTCTATTTTGATACGTTCATCAACAAGGTATCCCCGGCAGCTGGAATAGTGCCTAACATGGACAGAAACTCAATATTAGTGAATCAATACATAATTGAATCATGGACAGACAGACAAAGGGGGAGATGCAGTTACTCAATTAGCACATATTTATTGAGCACCAATATGTG